TAACATGTAGGCGAATCACTGTCCCCCAGACATCCGCGTTTATATTTTTTAAATTCATATTTTTTAAAAACAAAGCGTGTGTGACGTCATCCGCGCGCCGGACAGGAGTTGCAAACCAATAAACCTGGTGAGTCTTGCAGATTTAATAAGGTAACTGAGGCAAAAATACAAAGAACCAAAAAAATCAGAAAACATCAGGGGAAAACCCACATGGGGAGCCAGGGATGAGGAACCAGCACTGAGTGACTGCAGAGGTAGTGTGTATATAAGTGGAACAGAACAAAGGAGGGGCTAATGAGCTAAATATGGAGCAGGTGTGAGTGGAACTAAAAAGAAGGAAGCCAAGGGGAAAGAAAACAAGCACAATGGAGCAAGAGGGAGTAAAGGCTGCTTGAAGATAATGGAAAAACGAACCAAAGATCAACAAAACAGAATAACTAATAACTGAAAACGAAAAAATGACTCCAAAAAGGGGAGAACCATAACATACTTCTGCATTGTAAGTGTAAATTTAAAGTTGCAGATGGAGTTACATTATACGTTTTTTTAATTGTAGAATTTAAACAAATGCACAAGTAAAATTTTTTTTGCACCTCTTAAAATGTTAAGTACAAGTACACAAATAATGTTGCACAGCAAAAACCTCTTACCTTCTCAGTTTGCTCTAAATGGTCCAGAACTTATTTTACAAAACCGTGCATTGAAACTTTGTAATTTTTTTCCCCCTTTCAGAATTACAAAGAACAACCAATTCTAATCACCTGAAAAACCTGCACTGCAGCCGAGGACTAAAACATGAAGCAAAAATTATTAAAAGATGGTTTGAACCCACATGATTTACCTTGAACCTCACATGTCCTCGCTACACTCTGTGCTGAAATATGCATACATCCGCCCACATATACAAACAAGAACAAATATGGATGAACCAGCTGCCTATCAGATGCTTCCTTACTTGCAGCACCTCCGACATTTTAATCCATGACCCGATGGGTTTCTTTAACCCTTTGTCATGATGGGTCTCTAGTGTATAAACCCACATGCAGAACACCACAGAAACGGGGTAAAAGTTTAACAGTTTATTAAAGGTTGAGCACACAGTATAACAAGAGCTGGTTCTGGTACAGGTCCGGGACAGCATTCACTGAGAATCTGCAGAGATGGATTGTTTGGTTAGCCAGGCAGGGAAAAAAACTGAATGAAGGTTGATTCAGATTTGTACCTTGATGAGGTTCAGACAGATCACTGGAGAGGGGGAACCAATTGGGTCCAGAGACAGTGGGTTCAGCAGAGAGCTCAGCAGCAGCAGCGTCTNTGGTGGATGCTATTTTGTGCCACCGAACCACCCAGAAGCATGGAAAACACAACTTATTCAGCTACGTAAAATTAGAACTACAAAATGAACAGATGCATCATGGGTAATGTGGTACTAAAGAAACGGACGGACTTTTAACAAGAAGAAAAGACAAAGACATAAAATCTTTGTCTTGAAGTTGGACCGGGTCCAGCACAACAGCTCCTTCCGATCCGATGCACCCACTTCAGTGCATCGGATCTGGAATCTGTTTTCCAGGATGACTCTAAAAGTTCTGTAGGTTAACTTCTGTTCCTAATCATCTCTCCTTGATCCAGAGCTTTTTTTTTTTTTATAACAAACAAGCTGTCTGGCTAGTTTTGTTAATCCATCACCTCTGTTTCTGAAGACTCAGAGTGAGGGGGGAGTGGTGGGTTTAGGGGCATTCAGTAAAACTGAGCTTCTGTTTTAGTTGCTTGAGTTGTTCTGGTTCTGGATTGTGTTGCATCTCTGCGCTTTGTCTAACACAGATTTCTCCTAGAGGAGTCTAAGAAACACACTTGATCTGGACCTTCACAGGTCATCAGAACATGTTCTGGTTCTGCTTGGTTCAACTCTTTCGTCAATCTAACACATTTTTTACACATTGGTTATTTATTCTTTCATAATTAAGTTTTAATCTGCACCCATTGAATTCAACTAAAATATTTTATTCTTTATTCAGATTGTTTGACTGCCAATTCTCAGAGAGCAGTTGGGCTTCTCTGGGGTCAGCTCTGAAGTCTAATCCATCCCCCCTGACAGAGCTGGACCTGAGAGGAATCAACCTGGACCCTGGAATAAAGGAGCTGAGTGATTTTCTCCAGTCTCCTCTCTGCAAACTACAGACGTTGAGGTGAGATATAGTATATTTGTTTATTCTAATAACAATAAACTGCAAATATCAGTGTGAAAGTTAGTCATACTCAAGACCTAGACCTCTCAAGAGCTGAAGCTTACTTAGAGCTGGAGCAAGACCCGGGGCTTAAAATGGTGCTTTCAATGAACGGGGTCAGTTTTACATACAAGGAATGAGCTCGGAACCAACTTATAGCCAAGGTGTGTGTCAGAAATGCATTCAAATGTTGATGAAAGTCCACCAGAAATAGAAGCAGCAAATGAAGATGACAGTAAAACAAACAAGGCAAACCAAGATGGAAGTTCTAACAACACAGATGCTCCTTGCTCTAAAAGCATTTAGCATCCTAAGTCAACGTTGCTGCACAAACATTTACAGAGAGGGCTCCTCATGTGCTGTGGTGAACTTCACCCTTTCTGCCTAACGGACTATGCGGTAGTCAAACTTTAGATAGACACAACAAAAAGGTGGTGCTAATGTATCACTGGTTTCTGGCTCTAGGAGCTGGAGCTTTCTGCAATCAAAAATGAAAATCCAAAGACAGGTACATTAGGGTAATGGGAAAAAACTCACTAATGAGGAGGCAGAGTGGCATAATCTATTGGAACAGGCATAGACTGTGCTAACCTCCACAAAACACAGACAAATTCAGTTTAATTTACTTGACTGGCCATATTACACTCCTTAAAGGCTGCATAGAATTGACAGTAAAATTTTCTCTAGATGTCAGAGATGTAAAGTGACTGATGGGGATCTTACACACATGGTATGGAGTTGCCCAATGATAAAAAAGACCTTTGGAAATGTGTCATTATGACAACTTCAATGGTAATAGGAATGCAAATTGAACAAGACCCAAAGCTATGGATTCTCGGGGACACAGGCCCTATTATACTGCAGTGAAGAAATGTATCCTGGTTAACTGGAAATCTGAAAATTCCCCATAAGTTAGACACTGGATCAATGAGCTTGTGTCTTACTGCACACCCCAAAAGATACTATATAATGTTAGAGGAAAACATGCCTCTTTGAAAAAAATCTGGGGCCCCTTCATAGACATTCTCCCCTCTCTGGACCCAGCTGTCGATGGTGGAGTAAGCCTTTCTGGACCGGCTTCAAAATAGCCCTTTCCAAGTTCTTCTTATATAACTTCACTTATGTACCTTGATAGAAGTAGTGAAGTTTGTTATATTTGGTTTCGTTGATTTCTTTTGGTGTTAAGAATCAAAATTCATCTTCCTTGTATGGTATGTCTTTAAGACTATATATCAATAAGTTTGTTTTATAAAATGTAATTTCAGTATAACTCTAAATGCTTGCTATTCCCCATAGATATCTTGCAAAAGCTTCTGTTAATTAAAAAATGCAAAGATAGCAGCAGCAGCAGTCAAGTGGAAAAGTCCCTTCAGTAAGCTACTAAAGTATCAATAGGCTTTTTGAGCAGGATTATGACTCTCAGAAGGAGGACAGAGAAGCATTGTCATTTCGTGAATGTTCGTGAATATATTTATAGAGCAAACAGAAAAAATACAACCAATATTTATATTACATAGGACAGAAATATAGCATACTTTATTAATCTAACACTGAAGAAATGCAACTCTGCATTTAACCCCCTTTAACTCCCCTTTGCGAAGCAGTTGGCTGCCACTGTGTGGCCCCCGGGAGCAGCGTTGTTCTGGTTCTGCTTGCTTCAACTCTTTCAATGAGTTTTACTAGATCCAATATTAGACATCACTTCATTATGTTTCTGGGATTTTTAAATTAAGTCAAATTCCTTCTTTTACATTTTGATTATTTGTTTGTTTATATTTTGTTTTTCATCCGTGTTCTGTTAAATGCACCTAAAATATTATATTTTTAATTCAGATTAAGGTTCTGCAGTTTATCAGAGATCAACTGGTCTTCTCTGGCTGCAGCTCTGCAGTCTAATCCATCCAATCTGACAGAACTGGACCTAAACGGAACCAACCTGAACATTGAACTAAAAGAGCTCAGTGGGTTTCTCCAGTCTTCCCTCTGCAAACTACAGATATTGAAGTAAGATGTGGTCTATTTCTATAAGATTCTGATCCAATAAAGTCCATCTACCCTTACAGTTTCATCTAAGATATATTGTACATTTCAGAGGAATTGTGAAGCAATATGGCTTTAATTCCCCGCCTGATTATCTTGTCTCTGGTTTCCTCTGCCTCCAAAATGTGTGTGGACGAATCAGAGGTAGGGCTGTGGGATATTAGTTATTGTGGGATATTAGTTATTAATTTGATTTTTGTTGTATCCTGACCTGATAATGTTGCTCTTCTGTGCTGGGCCATATTTTTGGCCTGTAGCTGCTTTATTTCCCCTGATGTAGAATTGGTCCCAGGACCTTAACAGAATATCCAATATCCCTCTTTTAGTACCGGGGGAAGATCTTTTGGGGGAATCAGTCTTTGCCGTGATGTGTTTTGGGCTTTGAAAGCTACTGGGAAATCATCTGTAAAAAATAAAGGCCGACAGACAAAATCACTACTGGTCTGGGTTTTGGTTCTGCTGGAGTCCTCCTTGGGTTTCTGTCTGCTGTGAGTAAAACACAGTTACAGAGAACCACATTGCTCTAGGGGTCATCTCTTTGTGATTTATCCTTCTCACTGTGGAAGTTAGCAGGTATTTTGGCATTGATGTTATTGAGAGCTCTTTGACTAGTTCTGTTGAACTGTTCCAGCCTGCATCATGTTGAATCAGCTCACATCTTTATATACTTTATCTAGATTGAGGAGCTGCGGTTTTTCAGAAATCAGCTGTGCTTCTCTGGTCTCAGCTCTGAAGTCAAACCCTTCACATCTAAAATACATTGACCTAAGACAGAACAACCTGAAGCAATCAGATGTTCAGCAGCTGCAGAAACTGGTAGAGAATCCAGACTACAAACTGAAGACTCTGTAAGTAGATGGTTGGATTGAGTCCAGCTGCTCCACAGCTGCTCTGAATAGGACTGAAGTCCTTTCAGTGCTTCATCCTGGATGTCCTGTATCAATTATTGACATTTAATGGATAGGATGGAATCACTTATTGATCTCCTCTGTTGATCCTTCTTCTCTCTGTAGGCTGTGGAGCTGGATATCCTAGTCCTAGAGAGAAGCTGATCTGTGTCCTGATGATCCACAGAGGTTTAACTCAGCGTTTAATGAAATTTAAACCAAGCTCCATTTAGGTTTGATCTGAATTTGATCAAAGTGTAAAGTGTATATTTTTTGTGTTTTATTCAGTTTCAGCCTACAACCCAGAAATCTGAAATAAAGCTTAATTCTAATTCAAGTTTTGATGCTGAATATTTGCTTCATTTTGATGCAGGTTGTGGTTGTTTTTGATTGTATTTTAGATGTTTTCTGCACTTATTTGGGCAACTCTGCACATTGAAAATTAAATATTATTATTTATTAATAATATTTAACTAATAAATATTTATTTTTACCTTTCACTTTGCCTCTGTGATGATTAATAATAATTGCTCCCCATGGAGCAGGCCAGAGAGATAGGGCAGGAGGCAATAAAGTTGAAGCTTTTCATCCCTCAATCAGTTGGAGAACAATTTTCTAGACTATTTTCTAACAGTGTCATTGTGTAAAGACTAAATCTGGCTGCTGGTTTAGTCTCTTTGATGGACAGACTTATTCTTTTATAATAAAAGCAATCCTGCAGAGGGATATTCTGATGCAATAAAATATGAAATACAGTTGTGGAAAAATATCACACCTTCCTTGTTTTTGTCACATTCTTTGTGTTCAGCAGGTAATAAACCAATTTTGGCAATTCTGAAGTGGCCTATAAGGGAAGGATGGTAGGTTTCAAACCTGGAGAAGAGCTGGTATTCACACTGTTGGACACTTACTTGATGTTCGAGGGTCAGTGGATGTCCATAAGATGTTCACACATTTCCAACATGCTAACATCCCCTTCAAGAAAAATCCAATAATATAAAACTGTGAAAAAATCCAAACTGCTTTACTTCTTTACTTGTCCTCCATCATCAACAGGAGGAGGCGACATCAGGTGGAGTAAGATGATGCACTGAATTTCCTCCTCAACAGGTGGGCAAAAAGCACTTTCAAAGCTTTAAAACTCATATGGAACATAATACATAATTCACAAATCATATAAGATAAACAAAGGTCTAAACTGTATCAGAACAAATTATTTTGTGGAATTTTGTCAAAAGCTAAATTGATAGAACTGAAGGAACTCAGGAAACCCACTGAAGGCTGAATGTTTTCATTCATCCCCTCATTCCTTTCTAGGTATCAGACTAAGGACCCAAAATTCAACCAGACACAGGGGTACGCTTGATATTTACTAGCGAGAGTACTACTGAGACTGAAACAGAAGTTTCTGTTGCTTGATAAAACGGACCCCAGAACTATGACACCCTCTCTCTTTCTCTTATCCTTAATCTAGTCAATAAACCTTTGAACTCATATTCAGTCTTCGTGTGGTCCTTGCAAGTGAAATGTACTCCTAATTGAGTTTGACAGCATTGTGCTTTTTACTTTTGATTGAGTAGAAATGTTGTAAAGTATCAGTACCCTTACTTGATTAAAAGTTCTGAATAACCCTTCCGTTGTGAGTAGCACTTAGTGAGGGTATTAAACACATATGCATCATTGAGATAGCAGTGTTGGGCATGTTACTTTGAAAAAGTAATTAGTTACTAGTTACTTCTCCCAAAAAGTAATTGAGTTAGTGACTGAGTTACTCCACAATAAAAGTAACTAGTTACTAGTAAAAGTAACTATTGCGTTACTTTTACGAGTGTATGAAATTAATAACTGGGGATGTCTAATTCAGAAATCCTGTGTTTGGGTTGTTATAGTTGCTGCAACATGTAGCTATATCTATCTATCTATACCATCCATCCATCCATCCATCCATCCATC